AACTACACTTACGGAATGCTCTGTGAAAACTGTTGAAATGAACTAAATGTAGAAGCGGAATACGATCGTCTAAAGTCTAAAGCAACCGATGAGTGACATTCAGTTGTAAACATTGAAAAATGGGAGCGCGAGATATCTCGTTCAAAGCAGCACGCGAACGGTGTTGCTTCGCGAGATATTTCGTACATAGCATCACACGAAAGACATTGCGTTGCAAGATATCTCGTCCAAAGCATATCATGAATGAAATCACGTGGCGAAATATCTCGTCCTCCGATGCGAAGGTGTTAAGACGATATTTAAATGTTGGCAAACTTTGGTTGTGTCAATGTTGTATTATAGTTATAAATTTCATATTAATTAACCAATTGTAATAATTGTAGGCCCAACGTTAGATATTCGTTAGCAAATTGTCATAACTGTTCGTCGTAGGCCCTATGTTGGGAATTTGTAGGCAAAAACACTAACCATATCCCAACTAACTCCCAACCATAAATGCTACTAGGGATATTGTCTATCATACGTCGCAAATTGCTTACACACGACAAGTTACAATAGTGGTCCAACCTAGGCAATGCTCCAAATTCGGCAACCTTCCCCTACATACACCTGAAACGGTGAATCGGTTGAGGATTCGCTAAAACACTTACCCTACTAGCAACCTCTCAAGATTTCTAATCGAACAAATAACCTCCTGTTCAACTCCCCGTTTCCGTAAGATCCAGAAAAATCCAAATTCTCATAAACATCGCCCGGTCTGTTTACCACGAATCAATATTGACGAGGCGCGTCATACGATCGACCTTCGATGGTACGCGCTTATAAACCGTTAGAAAAGGAAGCAGAATGACAGAATGATTCCCTTATGGTGGCCCTGTCGTCCACCGATAAAGCGTTCTCATCGTGCACGGGACACGAAGGTGGTCATCGAGCAATAAAAATATTATGCCAGGTTAACGCTCACACGCGAGGAGACCATCGTTCCGGCGGGTTACGGGGGCGGACTATTAGGAAGTCAGGCCCCCCCTCTCCCAGCGAAGATCTACCTCGGTGGCGGTGGTAGTTAATGACGGTGCGCGCCGGTGAAACTGGTCTCGGGAGGAAGGGTGCAGCGAGGCCATCATCCACCACCAGGACTCTCAGTGGTTTACCGCCGACGAGGCTAAGCGACGCTCCACGTCACCGATGCATTATTGAGTCTGTGAACCGTACAGGTGGTCTGTCGTCCTATTAGAACGAGAAAGACGACCGCGGTCGAGTCACCCCCTCCACGACCTCCCACGACAAAGAGGGATCCCTGTCGTCCTGGCGGAGGAAAGGGCGAAGGGACACAGCGTACGGTGGTAGTGGAGAGAACCGTAAGCTGGTTCGAAAGGGGTTGCAAAAGTCACCGAACGGATGGAGAGAGTATTTTAACTTGACCTTCGTGCTGCTTCGACTTTCTGACTTCCGTCGTGGCACGCAAGTGTTTTCAAACGCAGAAAAAAAAGAACTGTAATTTTGATCATTTTCTATTACTTAATTCTCGATTTCTTTAAAACCCTCAATGCCTGCGGATCCTTAAGGTGGTTCGTGCCAAATACAAAAGAGTAGATGATTAAATGAAATTCATACAGATTAGTTATTAGAACGAAATACACACACTCGAAACATTTGAGACTAGGTCGACGATGAGGTAAATAAGAAAAAGCTTGTCAAAAATTCACTTATGGCAGTCTTACAATTTCTTACCGGAAGTATAATCTTTTCTTTTCACAGACACTGGAACTGTTAACGAAACACGTGGTACTGAAAATATAAATCCTGAGCTTTCTGATAATGAATTAAATCTTAAGATATTTCACAATAAAGTCCAAGATGTGTCGGTAGTTGGATGGTTATGGGAACTATGTTGAGGACTTGACAACGTTACCGAAGTAGGGTTATGTCCGCAAAATTCAAATAAACATAACAAATATTTTACTTATTTTGTGTTTTAGTGAATTCTAATTTTCTAAATTATATTGCACGACAATATAATTAACAATACGCGGGAAAACTGAACACGCACACATGTACATGTATAGATATGCGTGCAAAAACAACGTTGCCAAACGTACCAGAAACGAGCATAGTGGAGTCATACGACTAACCAAAATAGATTTATTATTTATAATATCATGAAGAATCATTAGAAATGTCGTTGAAAGTCATAGATATAATTTTTATACGCTATTAAAATGTATTAGTGGGTGTTTAACAGCAATTAGTAATATGATGCTTTATTGACTAGAAAGTCAGGTGTGAGCCACCTTAAGCTTTAGAGAACGGATAGGTTTTTTCATGAAATTTATTATTTTCGAATTAGAACTTTGATATATTTGTCATAGTGTTATAATACGGAAAATAAGTGTTCCCTCTAGAGCAGGCGTCAGCAACCTATGACCCGCGGGTCACCAAATGACCCATTTGATAATTTCAAGTGACCCGCTTAAATTCCGCAAATAAAGTATAATATATAGAAATAAATTATAAAACATAAACATGAAACAAACACTTTCAGAAAATATAAATAATAGATTAACATTGACCCCGCGGATCATGGGTTGCCGACGTCTGCTCTGGAACCTAAAAATAGGCTGCCTATCTACTACAAGTTAAATAGAATGTTATTTACCTATGCAAAATTTTTGAATGGGGTAATATGTGCGCGGAAGTCTGTAAGGAAGGTTATTAACGGTGAATTATGTTACATGTCATAAATTTTGTACAAGACAGTACATAACTTCAGTTCTGCAGTAGAAAGAGTAAAAGGATTTGATAACATTTTAGAGCAGACGTACGCAAAGGTTTTGACCATTTTTTGACTGCATGTATCTCAGTAGTTTGAGTAAAACAGTATCGTTTCGAACGGATTGGTGAAATATTTACTGTTAGCTTACAGTTCGGGTGCAGTTCTTTGGTTTTTTGCAAAAATCTTGTACTACCTTTTAGAACTTTATTTATAATTTAATTTTGAAGGTCGCAGTCCGCGGCCAGTCTGCAGACTAACATCCCTTGTTACTTAACTATTCAAAATTCTCTCCTTAAAAAAAGCGAAAAAAGACGGACAATTTCCAAGAGAAGTGTTAACTCTGCCGAAAAATATAGATATAGAAAATAATTGTAATTTAGAACATAAATGATATTTATTAACAAATAATATCGATGAAAATACTATGACCAAAGTTGAATAAAAAGATACACGTAGAATATCTATGTATGCACACGAAACAAGTGTTGTTGCCTTTATTTAGTTTCTGTTGCAGGTGCCTTTATACAAAAAAAAATGTGTTAATACGACGAGCAGGTTTTCGGTTACAATTAGTTTAATAGGTGCAAAAGATTGCGAACTTGAGTTCCGAAGAGAAATTAACGATAGCAAAGCCTGATACTGTGGTAGAATTTACAAAGAGAGCCATTCGATTCTATAAATGATAGCAGAAAAGATATCTTATTTATTGAAAAATAGTGGCATTCTAATACAGACAATGAATTGTACCTAGATACTTATGGATGGTAGTGTGTTTTCCTTTTTATCGAGGAAACATATACTAGATTCCCTTTTACATTTTCGTCTCTTCTAATTTATTCTTTAATAAGATTGTCGTGACTATACACGCCAGGCAACTGATTCTAATATCAGTGAGCTTGAAGTTAATAAATCGTGAACATCGAGGAATCGAAGTTTCCTGGCGAGCGATGTATAACAATCCGCTGGCTACTCATTGTGTACTGCAATATGCAACGATCCGTCGCTCGCCGGCTATAAGTTCCTCCAGTGAGCGATACATTATGAAAAAAGTCACGACAACCGCGTCTAGAGTTATGTCGCGAAAAAAATTACGGATAATGAGAAGTTCGTATGCTTCAATAAAAGATGCTACCGTTGATTATTGTTTCAGCAGAGTAGACGAACGATACTTGGTAAAGAGACAATAAACGTGCGTATGATTTCGATGAATCTCACGAACTCAATGTTATACCTTTCGAATGAATTATTTTTAATTTGGTATTTCACGATGGATAAAAAATGTTGATACAGTAACTAGCAGTTTTTAAATGTTTAATAAATGCTCTAACAAATACGGCTACCTAGGTAGTTTATAGTTCAGGATATAACGTCGAATTCTTCAAAGATGTTTAAGCAGAAATTTATTTACTCGGATCAACTTTGATTAAGAAATAAGTAACTCTGAGATCGTGTATTTTATAAGTAAAACAATTTCTGAGACCCTGGAATAACGTACATTGATTCATAGGAAATATTTAATTAGCGATTAAACGTAAAAAAAGACAGCATTTTTTATTCATCTAGTTTAAAAATTTATGTTTTAACACAGTTTTAGTTCTATTTTTTAATAAATGAAACATGAAGAATGTAGATATACTGAGTAATCTAATTATTAGAGCCACAGTACGAAAGATATGCTATTCTGTATTTGTGAGCAGTAAAATCACAAGGACAAGGTTGTTACATTGGATAATTTTTAATTAAAGATTGCCCACTAAAAATGCATAAAAAATTAAACTTACCTTATATAACTACAAAAAACACAGTTAAAATCGTAAAGTTCTCGATTTATGCAGGTGGCTCTAATAATTTCATCGTCGACTATATATAACAACTAACTGTAAATCTAATGCAGTAAAAATTGATTTCACAATTAAAAACTGACCCAACCAAGAAAATAGAAAGACCGATATTCTGAATGATTAATATTCCATGGAAATATTTTTATATATCAGTCAAAAAATATTTACCATAGAACAATGTAATGATCCGAGCTTGATTGCGAAATCTGGTGTATTATTGTTATTACTTTGGAAATTCGAAAGAGTAGAATAATTCTATGCCACCTGTATGGAAACATTTTTAGATTTAAACGAATTCAAATCATCGATAATTTATAACAAAATGAAAAAAATTCTTCCCGTTTCTTTTGCGTAATCGTATTTTGTCGAATAGATCCAAAGACAAAATGGAGGACAACAGTCGAAGCGAGACTCTGTGCAAAGTCTGCGGGGACAAGGCTTCTGGAAAGCATTACGGAGTGCCCAGCTGCGATGGATGTCGCGGTTTTTTCAAGCGGTCGATCCGCAGGTACGCAAGGTAATTAATCACTTCCCGATTACGTGATATATCGACTGTGGATTTTATGAGCTTATAAATCCGTATCCATGTACACGGTCTGTCTAAAAAATAACCGAACTTTTTGAAAATAGAAAAAACTAGTAGCAACAACTACACGAAAATTTTGTCGTCTAGAAATGCATCCTTGATCGATATTGTGAGAAAGTTTTATGACATTTGGATGATTAGAAGCCAAGTTATAGCACCCAAAATATATATAGCTCTATCATTTTTATAACATAATCTTAGAACTTAAAAATTACTTTAAAAGAGGAAAGATGTGCTAATACTTTTCGTAGTCACTGTATATTTCTTTCCCAAACAGATAGGTAGTAAATAATAGAACATTTAATTTTCAGACGTTGGTCAATTTACATTTGAAAGCAAAATAAGTCTCAGCATTATAAATGACAGAAAAATTTAAAGCTCATTTGCTTATGGTAGTTCTTATGGTAAATTTATTATATTCATACTACTGTAGTTAGAAACCTTATGTTATATTTGGAATTTTTTGACGTGAAAATATTTGCATTAATCTACTCTTCAGAATATGGATTTATGGCTTAAAAAATAAAATAGAGTGTCTGGTTGCGTACGGCCTTTTTCACTGTAATAGTCAACGTGTCAATTCAAATCTTATGTATGTATACAAAATTAACACTAAAACTATCAATGCATTCGAAATGACTGGTTAGTACAGTTTTAATATATTAATACATTTCCTCAGATCTTTTACAGTTTTCATTGCAATATAAAAACGTTGGAAAATTATTTGATGTATAAATTTGAGTATTTTCAAAATGTTACCATCTCAAACTAAATTGTTGTGTCTGGATGATCCGAAGGTTCACACAGTATAAAAATTTAAGAGAATCTTTGAATATTTGCAAAAATTTTTTATGTAGAATTTATTGAATTTTAGTTCTATAAAATTTTCTTGCGATAAGAATTAGTTTTCGTAACGTTCGATTCGTTTGTATAGGAATCTGGACTACGTCTGCAAGGAAAATGGTCGCTGCATCGTGGACGTTTCACGACGCAATCAGTGCCAGGCATGTCGTTTCACCAAGTGCCTTCAGGTTAACATGAAACGAGACGGTACGCTTCGTTTCACCGGTGATTAGAATTTTAATTTATTTTCTCTACATATAAGGAACATTAATATTGCCATTTCTATTACGAATTAAGAGGGAACAATTAATGATACGACAAACAGAACTCACAACAATGGTTGTCAAACATTTGCAAACGTTTTGTTCTACATTACAGTCTTTGTAATTCGCAGAACTTTTTCGTAACGTTTGCAGATGCTGTGCAAGATCCAGAAGAAATTTTATATTTAAAATTGGTCGTCACATAATTTTAAACAATTAGTGAATTACTTATCGATACACCTAGTAAAATAAGAAGCTTTTACAATAATATATGATAATTGGTAATACACGTTACCGATATGCAATAATTGGTAATATTGCAATGTTACATAGTAAATGTTCTTTCTCTACACGATACATTTCAACCATATTAGAATCATTAAACATTAGATCGAGCAACTTCTATCTCGCACCAGCAAAATGTGTCAATTCGAATAGATTTAACTTCGATTAAAAATCTTCTCTTCGAGATCAGTTGTAACCGTTCATGGTTTGTCGTCGAAAATAAAATTTATTAATACAGCAACCTAATACACAATATCGTTGTAAAATAGGGCCTCTCGTATCTGAATATCTTAATATCAGAACATTCTCCAGAGTGTCTTCCAGTAATACAATCGTACTGTAGATTTGTAGCGCTTACATACAAGGTACACCTTCTTTCGCTCGATAGACAAATTTCTATAACTTCACAGCATAAAGATATGAAGAATCCAAGGAAAAAACGATGCTAGTCACAAAAAGTAAAATTTCTAATATTTGAAAAAAAACTTTGTAACTCTCCCCCACCCCATTAAACACGATCACAAATCTAATATTCTTCTTTGTTATAATGGGGATTTCTGGGTGTTATATGGTGTTTGGGTATATAGTTATGGGTCATAAATTTTATGAAAGTAACATTTGTTTCTATAATCTGGACATAGATCTAACGTTAGTTAATTAATTTCTCTGGACTGACGACGATTTTTCATCTTATTATACTTTTATTGGATACCTTTCCTTAAGCTTCAACGATGCTAAATCTGAATTTCGATTTAGGGTGAAATATGTTCGTTTTTCGCCTGAGCTCTTCTATGGGATCCATAATTACCCTAAATAAACAGTCAATTATCCTGATTTCTATTTAAATAAATGAAGTTTAGTATGAGAAAAGTACTTGTTCCATTATTCAAACATTCCTTTAACCAAACACTAATGTCTCCCTATTAGTTCGGATACGGGAGATTCTACTGTACGATACTGGTATCACACAAAATATAAAATACAAAGTGACACGTAAAATAGAAAAAAAAACATATTATTTTGTCTGCGTTCAAAAAATGTGAAACCACATACGAAGGCTAGCTTAGAAATCGAGGAACGGATGTGGTACCATTTCGAAAGTTCAATGATTTCTCATACGACGGAAACACTGCGGGTGACAGCCGACCCATGGTGTGACTCTGGGGTCCTCGTGTCTCGACAAACATACGCGTTGCCGACACCAAGGAATTATTACAATGCATGGAGATGCTCCCATCCTCGGCAAAGAGACACTAGAATAGCCGTCGCGAGGGTCAGCGAAACGAGGTAAAAAAAAGCGGCTGTCTCGCACCCACATGAAACTCGACACTGTGCATTCGTTCATGGTAGAATCAGAAAATGTTAACCTGGCCACGAGCGGAAGAGCCGGTGTCACGAGCAGCCTGGCGTTCACAGCTTTTGCAAACACTCCGATCCCGGCCTGGGGCGGCCCCGATAATCCAAACACTTGATTGCACGAAGATATCAATTAACGTGGGAGGGGACGGAAGGTGCCATTAAGGGGTCGCGAGTCTGATTTTCATCGTCGAACAACAGAAAAAAATGACAATATCGGGAACGCGGTGGATAGGTCCACACGGGGTCAATTTTATTTTAATCGAAACATCTGCTCCTCTTAGGGGTGATTTCTTTGCTTCACGATATGGACATTCTTTTTTTGGAGATATTTACAGTCTGTCTCACAAGAGCGTTGGAACGATATCTCGAAAGATAATGGGTATTTTAAAAAAATTCAAAAACAGGATTATAGTACATTTAAAACACTACGACGCGTCATTAAGAATCTGTCAGTTTGGTTTCGTCTGTCATTGTAAACACTCGAATTTCAAAAGGACTGCAGTGTACGCTGAACGGTTTGAAGCAGTGTTTCTTTGTACACGTCCTAAAGAACCAAATTGAACTCAACGGCGGCAGCTCGTTATGAGAAAACGTCAAACGAGTTCGTAAGGAAGTGAGTGACACGGTATAGACTGCAAAGAATGTTGATAATTTTGAAAAGAGAGGTCGGTAAAAGGTATGTCGGGTAATATAGAGAAGACCATTATAAATTTTTTTAAATATTTGAAAAATTTGTAATTTTTAAAAGAAAATGGTCTATTGAAGTCTACTAAAGAGAGTGGTTTTGTGAAGATAATTCATCTTGGGTGTTACAAGAAGTCAATGATCCTAAAAATCGGAGCCGGCTGTGTACTTCGTGGAAAGTAGTATCGAAACACTAAATTGGTCTTCACAATCACCAGATGCTAAGCCGATTGAAAATATCTGGAGCATCATCAAATTTAAGCTTTGTGGAAGGCCTATACTTATTTTAAAGCAGCTACGCCGCCAAATTAAACAAACATGGAGGACATTGGGTACGCGGAAAACTTGAGCAAAAGCATAGAGACTATCATTATACCAAGTAATTGCATTGTAGTGTCTTAGATGTGCTATAAGCCTGTTTTTGAATTTTTGCAAAATATCAATTGTTTTTCCAGATATCGTTCCAACGCTCTTATGAAACAGACTGTATATAGGTCAGTGGTTCTTAACCAGTATTCCGCGAAATTATATAAGAAATCTATTTTGCACAGTGAATACATCGAGTTGTGATTTTTTGTTAGAGAAGAAGAACAATTGGTTACCTTGCCAATGGATCGTAGTCCAGAAATGAAATTCTCTGAAATAACTCCGGAGGAATATTGGATATTTGTCCAAGCCTAATACACTCCATAAGGGTACTGAAAATTTGGTTAGTTTTCAAACATCATATTTGTATGAGTTAGGTTTCTCAACATTAACTAATATAAAAACTAAAAAACGCGAAAGACTTAATAATATAGAGGAAGAAATGTGGGTAGCTATATCACATATTAAACTTGATATTGCTGATATCTGCAAAAACTGAGAAGCTTAGGTATCACATTAAAATTGATTTAAAGAAGTTCCATTTTTATGAAAAGGTTACTTTAGTTACAGTTTTTACGAATACAATATTTTTATTTAATTAATGGCTTCTTTTTTTGTTGTTATGTAATGCGTAATCTATAATTTTTAATAAAAGGTATGTTCATGCATATCTTTGTTGTTAGTTTTATTACCTTAATGATTTTGATGTTCCGCAAATTTTCCTCATAATCAAAAGTGTTCCATGACTTTGAAATGGTTAAGGACCACTGATATAGATTGAGGTGGTCCTTGTCAGTATAATTTTGAAGTTATTGTAGCTAGAAAGAATATATTTGGTATAATACAGTGTACCTCTGAAAATTATGTACAAGCAGGCATGAGGTGATTCTACGTGAAAAAATAAGTCGAAAATATGGAATAACTGTTTTCCATTTGAAACTTCGTTTTCGAGAAAATCGACTTTGAACATTAATCCGAAACGCATGTCTTGTCATGGTCGTAAGTAGAAACGGATTGCAATGAACAGGCGCGCTAGCCAAGTCCTATTCAACTGCATACGTATCCAGCAGATTTTCAAATTTGACTTTCTCGAAAACGAAGTCTCGAATAAAAAAATTTTATTCTGTATCTTTTTCTTATCTTTTTATGAGGAATCATCTCATGCCCATTTGTACACAACTTTCGGAGGCACCCTGTACAAGATAAGTACATCTAATTTCATCTATCCAAATTTAACTTGTTCCCACTTGAAGGGTACCTGTACTTTTATATCTAATTAGTCTCAGAAAAGATATTGTTTGTGATTCATGCAGAGCAAGTTAGAACAATTACAATCGAAAGATTTTCAGTCACGATTGAACAAAAAGAAAGGCATTAAAAAATCAGTTTCATGAAAACAGTGCAGATAATATCGCCTACCTAAAAAATATTAATTACTTCATGTAGTTTTTAAAGTAATTATTTGTGTATTTAGTATTTCTATTATGAACATTTTGAAGCTTCTTGTCAAGCTTTTTTTAAGTGTTTAAAAAATATCGTTACTGTAAAAATAAAGAAATACAATTTCTAAATTCTTATATTATTACATATTATTTTTTGAGTCGTTCACGTTCACATACTGGTCAAACAAAGTTCAGCTCTGTACCTTTGCAAATGTCGTGTCGCCATCTGTAGGAAATACTACACTGAAAAGTAGACGGTATTAAGTGCACCTCTGGCCAAAAAAATTTCGAACTAATAATCTAAGGTCGTCGATTAAGCGATAAAAAATAATTGAGAGGTACTAAAAGAAATCTGTAATCTTTATAGCGGAATCATCCCCTTTTATATCCAGCCCTATTTCCCTTCAAACCAACGATTTCGTCAGCTTTCACTCCATCGGTTGGTAAGTGAAAAAGTTTACATCTACAAGTTTTTAATAGATTCAATACCAATGATATTTCTATAAAATGTTTGCAAAATATTAGTACAGTAAAACTCCATTTATTAAAACGAAATTTTAGTCACTGTCTGATTTACTTACATACCGATTACAATTATAGGTACATAGATTATACAAAAACAAAATGTACGATTTGCAGCAGCGCACTTTTTGCCGCGATCCCCAACCGAACCTCTGTCAGTGACAGCCGCCAAAGAGGATGAGGTGACAAGCTCCGAGGAAGCTGGAACGATAGAAACTAGAATTGAGCCAAAGGGTGAGGGTCTTTCTATAGATACAGAATCCTCTAACAGAACTGGATTATTAATCGGAAAGCAATCTTTCAATAAATAGAGTTTCAGTAGTATTTACAGTGACTCACATATTCCTTCACATTTTCAAAATAACGGTCAAGTTTAACAAATTTTTGTGTTACTACCTATTTGTATAGCCTTGGTTTCTTTACTTTTATAATTCCTTTGTGGTCGATTATATCTACGTTTTATCATTAAACTTCGCAATTCAACGTCTAATTTGTTCAAATAAAGGTAACAATTTTCCGTGAGCAATTTTGTGAGTAACTGCAGTTACAATGAGTAGTATCGGTAAGTAATGGGAAGACGTGTTTAGCCAAGTCGCACAGTATTTTAAATAGCTGTCTGACCGCGAAGAACCTATAATTTTGATAATTTTACATTATTTAATTCTTGATTTCCTTAACTTCTTAAATCTCTAAAGATCCTTAATTAGAATGTTATTTACCCATGAAAATTGTTTAAATAAAGTAATAGTAAACCGTACGGTTCGGGTGCAGTTCTTTGGCTTTTTAACAAAATTATGTGCTACCTTTTGTAATTTTTTTTATAATTTAATTTTTACATTCGCGGACAGTCTAAGGATAGTCTGCAGGCTAACAACGTCTGTTACTAGATTATTCGAAATTATCTGCTTAGGAAACGACAGTGTGTGCAATTTCAAGAAAAGTATTAGCTTGGCTGACGAATGTAAATATGCAAAATAATTGCTTTACTTATATTAATAGCGATTCTAATAATTCTTCTCACGAAGCAGATTAACTTACTATACCAATGCAATACTTAAAAATGTTATATACATATATTGCAATTCAGGTACACTTACCTAACTCATAATTTAACGTAAAATAAAAACGACAATAATAAATAAAATACTTACAGTACAGTTTCTGAATCTTCGTTTTTTTTTATAAATGAACCAGTTTTTATTTTAAATATTCCGAATGTACAAAGAAAATAATTTAAAGAAGTTGTAATCTTTAATGATCCTACTTCTCAATGATCTACAATCCACATATACACCTTTAAGACGAAGTATAATTTTTCGCTGTCAGACGACTATATTAAAACACTATGAGTTAAGTTTTCGGTTTATATTATATTAACTGTTAGTACAATAAACAAGGAAACTATAATTAAATGTATTTTGTCGCCTTTCCTTGGAAGCTCGCGCACACATGTGCTCTTAAAATGTCTTTTTAATTTCTTATTTTGGAAATTTATTCATCGATGAATATACAAATTAAAAGTTCTTGAAAATGATACTTCGTAAAATAAACTGATATTCATTTCTTTGTATCTGTAATTTTGCAGAGGATTTACTAAGTACTCGATTAGCACCGCCAATCATCAACTCTGCATCGGCGGAGTATATACCAAATTTCTCCATTTTACCTACGGAAAATATCTACGAATTCGCGGCGAAACTGTTGTTCTTTGCTGTCAGATGGGCACGAAGTATTCACTCCTTCTTACAAGTATGTTAGAAAATCGTTTCTTCTTTCGTTTTGAATAGTCTGTGTTATTGTTTAATCGAAACTTGAATTGAAAATTAGAAGTTTAGGGGCAAACTACTAATTTATATTACATTCCATCATTTTGAATTTATTATTCCACTAATAAATAACTTCTACCAGAAATAACAAGGAATTCCTATACATATAATATTCCATAATAATAATATAAATTAATATATACTACATTTCATAATAATTATTACATGCAATTGTTCTGGCAAGTGTGTAATATATCATTTGTAGAGTGTTTCAAAACAAAAAGATTCTACAAACAAGTACTAACGTTAATTAAGAATCAATCAAATATGTATGTATAAAGGGTGTCCTAAAACAGGTATAAGTCCTTGAAAGGAGTGATTTGAAACAACTTTTTCCTTAGCAAAAAAGTTCTCCGAAGCTTTGTTTACCAGATATTATTGAAAAACAGTGACCAATCAGAGCGTGTGTCTGCCGGTTTGAGCTCCGTTTATAGCTTGTTCGTAGTACCAATATATTTATAACAATATATTACTATGAATATTATTATTTTCAGTTAAAATACAAAAATTAAGACATTTAAATTTAATTTTAGTAAATTAAGAATAAGAACCCTAGTAACAAAATATTGCGTATGCGCATCAACAGCTTCAAACATTATACAAAATTAAATAACTATGCATTATAATAAACCCCGAAACAGACCTGCGTACTTCTAAAATGATATTATTTGAAATATCATTTCAAATAACATGTTATTTCATTTTCTAAGCATTTCAAGTAATTTTTAGAAATAACTATGAAATTGTTCTTCGAAATTGTATCAGGTGTGTAGTTCTGAATTTGATTAATTGACATTTTTCTGAGGAGTAACACCCCCTTCCATCTTCCACACCAGTGGAACGATTATGTTTTTTTGGCGACAATATTATATGGACCCAAGCAAAAATCTCTTACGGATGAGCCATTTGACGAACAGGATCTGCTTAAAGCAAATTACTGTAACGATTTCTTAAAATAAAATCTTTTTGTTGCATATGGTTTTGAGTATTATGTCTTTTGTCAAATTTGAAATTCAAAAATAATTAAATAATTAATTATTTGAAATTGCTATTATTTCAAACGATTCGATAATATTTTTATTTTCAAATAACAGTAGTGAAAATAAAGTTTCGAATTAAATTATTTCAAGTAATTATGTCTTATTTTCATTTCCAATAAAACTTTCCCAAGTCTGTTTTTCATTTACTGCATCTCTTCTCATTTCTTGACGGACTTCATTATAAATTTGAAAAGTTGTTAAATATAAAAAATTAATTCTTCATTGGAGAAAAAAATATTTTATGTCTTTATAAAGATTCAGGAGCCTTTACAATTGTTGTTTTAAATGTTACCTTTACCCTAATTAAAAAGAATGAAAGTTTAATGTTGCTTTTGTACAACAGCTGTTAATAGGTTAATTGCGTTAACTTATGTGTCAGCTTTGACAAACTGCAGAAACGTGTTCAACTTCCGCTTTCCGAACGCTGACTCCTGTCACGTAAAAAAATATGCATTTGTATTACTGAAATTACGCTGAACCGTAGTTCGGATAATAGAGGCACAGTTATGAGTTATCTGACGCTGGGCATCAACTTGTCCGTATAAACAAGGTTCTACTGTAGTCCACGTGAGATGTGTTTAACAAGTAATTAATATGTACTTTACTCAATGTCTGTCAAGCTGCCATACAGAGACCAGACGATTCTCCTGGAAGAATCTTGGAGCGAGTTGTTCGTCCTGACAGCCGCACAGTGGAATTTTCCTGTTGAAGAATCCGCATTGGTACCCAATGATATATCGTCCGAGAGAAAAGAAATACTTGTCGATGAGGTGAGGAGATTGAGGGAGTTACTGGGAAAATGCGCAGTTCTCAGAGTCGACCATTCAGAGTACGCTTGTCTGAAGGCAATCGTTCTGTTCAAAGGAGGTATGACCAATTTCCCACATTAACTATTCACGAACCCACGGTAAAGTACTAGAGAAAGAATCGAATCTGAAAAATGCAATGCTCGAAAAAAATTAGAGAATCATGTATTGGATCGACTGTGCATGTTAATATGGTATATAATATTTAGAAAATTGTTTAGAAAATAATATCATTTAGAAAAGATTTATATTTATTAAGCCTGTATACCTAATTCCATTTCTTTCGTTTGGTTGACGCAACTGAACATTAATGAATATTGTATCTTAAAAGGTATGACAGAAATAGGTAGGCAGAGGATATTAAGTTTCAGACGCTATGTTAGATCGAGAAGCCTAAACAATGAGGATTCGTAGGGTACCGTTATTAACCTGCTAATCAGGCGCAAACACCTTAAGAAATGGTCTGAACTATCTAGGTCATTGTGTAACTTTGAAATCGCATATCTGTAGATTTATATGTTTTTCAGTCATAACCACTTATATTTTCGTTACGATACGAATTCAAAACAATCCTTTCAAGTATCGAAATATTTGTAACCTGAATTTATGTCTTAATTTATACTGTAATTTCAACTTTTATTAGCTTGTTTTGCCATGAAATGCTATTCAAAAGATATTCTTGATTCCGTATGCATGTTACTACCAATAGAATCCTTACCAACATCTTTGAAATTGCGAATATTAACCCTGCTGTTCCCCTCACATATTCTTCAAGTTTGTATCCCTTTGAGTAAAATTATTTCAAATTTTGAAATGATTTGTTCTTCAGACGTGGAAAGCACACAATAAATAGACGTGAATTTTAAGTACATACAATACCAAACACAATTATTCAAATATATAATACATATCGAAGTATAATCTTCATTTCGGGTCATATAATTCATCTTTGAAAATCATTCCATCTTATTGGGCAATTAATAGTACTGTATCTCAATTCATCGTAACGAAAGCTTTCCATAGATAGATAGAAACAGCCAAACGTCCATCCAGCAAACTCTCCAAGAGTTAATATGATTCTAAAATTTATCTATCCCAAAGACAAGATATACATATTATGTATACCTCGACTGTAGTTACATTATGTACATAGGGAGAAATTAAATGAAATTTAATGACACATTTATATTTTTTTTTTGCAGAATCCCGAGGACTTTGTGAAAGAGGAAGAGTAGCTGCGTTGCAAGAGCAAACGGTTGCGGTGTTTTGCGAAAGGGATGCTCGGAGGGTTGGACGACTTTTGTTATTGTTACCCCCAGCGCGTGCCCTCTGTCGATCAACATTGCAAGAATTATTGTTCAAACCAACGGTAGGTGACGTTAGTGTCGAACGACTATTGGGGGACATGGTGAGCGCGCTTAGACCGACATAACGTCACATACCGACGAACCCAGCTTCATTGATAAGGATTATCAGCGAAATAAACGAGGATTGTAGTTTCTCTTCATAAAGAATAAAATTCAATTACGACAAATTTCTTGTAAAAATCAGTCCTGCAGGTCATGTGACATAAATTCTTATCAGAAATTGGGTTAATACATAACATCGTCTACAATTATAATCCTTTGTCGAATGCAGATTAAGCTTGTTCCTTTTTATTTATATAAAATATAATCTTTAATTACGTCAAAATGTAGTGATCGGCTAATAAACTGCCGCCTATGACCGGTCTGCAAAGAAGATTCGCAAAGACGAATACAAAATAGATTTGTTAATATGATAGATATTTGCGATAATTGTGTATTAATGTTACTACCTTAATAAATCTAGTCAATTCTTTAATATACGTACTACAAAGAACGCTTAATTTAAAATAAATACTCAAGTATTATACTATAAAATGTGATGTAATTTGTTTTAATTTGTATAACAATTTGTAATTGTTTTAAATTATACCCGAACTATACGGTCTTCTATTAAAATGGTGAAATAAATCAAAACATTTTACTTCCTTATGCTAAAAATAATGGAAAAGACTCTTGCCATTTTATATTACATGTATGTAGTTTTGTTTTTGTAACAGAAACATTCAAATTTTATGGGAATATTGTTTCCAAATGAGAAGTATGAATTAGGTTCAAGGACAGCGATGGTTACGATGAATCTCACAAGTAGACATTCGTTAAATGGAGTCCCTTTTATTGTATCTTGGCAACGCCACTCAATCATACGTATTTCTCACGCACGTGCGCATACCTCACTTTGTTGCCCAGCAAGGAAGAAACACAATATATACGGTGTCGCGTTTGACTCGCATATTTTTTATTACAGAAAGTGCGGTTTATATAATCACCGACTAGGTATAGGAAAACCCTATCATCTTATGGGACTTCGTATCTCATGTTCTGAAATACCGATACTGTAAAAAGTCAGGGATTTTCTACTGCCCTCTACGTTATGAGAACGGTGAATTTGTGAACTACGTTAAATCTATTTGATCTCAACTAGTCTTAACTTCTAGATTGTTGTCGAGTCTAAAGTACGCACTGTTGTCAGATGAGTGTTCGGTACGTCGCAAAATCATCGAATGGACCATGGTCGCGAACGGATTTTCTTCCGTCCGTTCGCTGTAAAGTAGACGTATTAGAAAGGAGTCTTGGGTTCTTCTCCCGACGGACCTATTGGTTTTTTTTCGCATACAAAAAAGTTATTGCGTTTAATATTGTTTTTATGGATATGTATATGTATTATTATGTACATTTGAGTAAATTATATTATTATTCCATTGTTGTTACAACAGTTTAACAGTGACAACGAACGAATGCATATTTTCAAATATCGGACTAATAGTATATTTTTATTCTATATTATTACATATAAGTGAGTAATACGTATCAAAAACGTAATCGAAACACAGATTTTTATTACACCACGAACATCGCATAAAAGATATTTCGTTATATTGGCATTTGTAATAATTATGGATGTTGCAAGGAAATCAATATTATTGAAATTATGGAACATATAACGAAATATCACTGTAACACTTAAAAAAGTTTTACAGTTCCATTTATATCATTGTCCTGTGAGAATGTTCATACTTCCAGCAACATTCATATTCCAATCAAAGAATTTACAGAATAAGGAAAAGGAATCTAAAGTAATTTTCAGTAGTTCCATACATCTTTATCTCGAATACTTTTCTAAAACATTCAAATACTAGACATTTTTACACTTTGAATCTCATATCGATTTCTAAAATAATCCTAGTTCGATATAATATAGAATGTGGTTTTGTGAGATAGATTCGAAGTTGTTGTGACATGTTTTATGACTGTCATATTTATCCTTTAACTTTAAACTGAAGCATCGGATATTTTTATTCCCGTCAAATCATATAGATACACGCAATATGAATGGAATATATAACACTTCATTTGTGCTAATAATACTCAGAATTCATGCTTTATCGGTAATGTCGGGAATTGACACTAAAATGGTAACAGAGCTACGTAGCTCTACGAACGTGGGACAGGAAAAAGCATTGGATGATATATCTTTTTACAAAAATATTATGGTATCAAAAAATTGCTCCTGATCTTTTTTATAATATTCAATGATCAAATATCTTAATAACAACTTATTAACAAGGAGCAATTAAAATAATGTTGCATACAGGTTAAGTATTATGTCATACGGTAGGCGCTCGTTTATTGTAGCCTTCGGGGCTGTCAAGGGCCAGAATTCCAGAAATATTGTAATATCTCATTAAATATAATAGTTACGATGGGAGCAATTTTAGATTACGGGGGAGCAAATTGGGAGTAATTTTTGAAGATACAAATTGTTAGGAAATATTAATACAGTAGACATTTCCCATTCATTTCCCGCGCCACCGTTATCTGCACGGAAGCCACTGCGTACCCTACTCTATCGCCCAGCACGTCCAGGCCGAAACACATAAGGTATCGCGTTTAACTCGCATATCTCATCACGGAAAGCGCAGTGTATATAATACTGTGTTAATAATGTTTTTATTGGTGCAATGAATATTGGTGGAATGAATATTGGTGGCAATTTGATTGCTTCTTGCCTCGCGGATAACACGTAATCAGTAACAGATGCTAACCAAGCTAGACATTTGCCACTAAAATGTGTCACGAATTATTACCTTTTTCACATAATACCTTAATACTTTATTACGCAGAATGTTTGGAAGAATCGATTTATGTAATAAAAGTATTTTATTGCTTAATATTTCAATATCATTAATAAAAATAACATAATTATCTTTGAAAACCTAGAAGATACTCCACCAACGAAAAACTTGTTACTGCTAAGTAGTAACCTTCTTCATACTGAACAACTTCTGTGAATAAACTTTTCTAATATCTCTAAAAATAACGAAGTGAATTAATGTAACCGTAAATTGCGCATATCCAGCCCACCCTACATATAGTTGCGTCGCACGACTGAACGGCCGAGTGGTGGGAAAGCGTTCGGTAACTGGCGTCTGCTTCCTGTACGGTTCCTGACTGCTGGCCCGCTAAAGCTCTACTAGTGCGAGAAACGAATGTCTACTGTTTCCGCGCCAACTATTCTTCGGTACAATAAACGAGCTTCTACTGCATGACGTCTTACCATTCTTTGATAAAGTAACTAAGTTACCTGCACACGGTATATATCATTCAATAACTGCAGTTAGAAATTCTTAGGTGGCACTAGTAATAAAAACGACGGTGCGAATACCATTTTCCGAGAATTTCCCGGGAGGCCCATTTGAACATCCTTCCTTCGTTTACCCTCACCCTATTGGTCCTTTCGGCTTCAATGCATGGGGGTATCCAGAGTTCACCCCACGTAAAGAGCGGCTTTTGTGGAATGGAGCTTCACCCCACAGGATGGGGGAAACCATAATGCCGCCCAGGCCAAGTTACGCCATTTTGTAAATCTAAGGTCCAAAGGAGCGTGATGAAAATTCTCGAGTTTTCGTGAAACATTTCGTAATATTCCTTTAATACTATATTACATAAATTATCAGAAAAACTCTTGTAAAATAATGCACTTCTTACTGAAATTAAACGATTCCGTAATGACACTAAAAGAATTTTTTCTACTTTTTAGCAGTTCCTTACAAATATTTGATTGGACTCATGAAATTATATTTTTCGTCGACAGTGTTATTCTATTTTATTCACGTTCTGTTAAAGACAAAAAAAGAACAGGAAGTTTATTGAGATAAGATGATACATATGATTTATGTCAATGAATTCATATTACATATCGCTTTAGCTTCTTGACTCGATAATTTGTCATACACATATCTTCTAAACAACATTTTCTCTTTATATAATGAATCTTCCTGTAAATAGATGTAATGCTTTAACTAAAAATACTACTACGAGGAAATTCCTTAGATACTGTAAATATTCTGTAAAAAAGAGAAGTTTTCAAGGATTGGTAGAAGCTCCAAATTTATTTCCATTTTCAATACTTTCAGTTGCGAGCAACAGCAATGAAAACATTAACAATTTTTCACAAATCGATAGATAAACATACATTTTTGCGAAAAACGGGTTTCGATATAGAAAGTATTACACCTTTCGTTTCCAGAATCTTTAAAGGAATGTAACCAATGATAATATAAAATAAATAAAGAATTCCAAAATGAAACATCGAAAACAAACAATTCACATTTAAATAGGTACGTTTCAATATTTAGTCGACTAAAATGTACTTATGTACTTTCAGACGGGTCGAGCTTTTGTTCTTTGTTGTAAGAATATTTCCTAGAAAATCGTTTACATAATATGGCGCCTCGATGGACTATTATCGCAGCCATTTATAGTGTTTCCTTATCATCAACATTGTAATCTTGCTTTATCTGGAATTATACTACATCTAAATCAATTGAACAGATTCTTTGGAGATTTTCTCGTTTACCTTATGGTATTTCACAATAAACAATCCTATAACATAAAAAAATCTGGTATACACTACAGAAATATATCGTCGAGAAATAAAAATTTAAATTAAAAAAATTTAACGAAAAAGTTGCAAATGTTTACACTAACATTGGGTTTATCGCGTAAAGTTATAGAAATCCATTACTTTACAATGTAGGTAGTAGATCTCACTACAGATCATTGTAAATCTGATACAGTATTGATAGAATATATATATAGGTTCAGTATGTTTGTATTTTAACTATGAATGTATGGAAAAGATAATTATGTACATGCAAATGGATGCATACTTTGTCATCCCATATTGTGGCGCCGTCTACAGTTCGCAACTTTGCAAATGCAGTTTCGCTACCGCCATTTTGTTTCGTAACGCGAATACTATTCTTCAAATATTATTGTGGAAAAATTAAATGTAGTCATTTTATCAGTATTATTGCATTCTGGCGTTTAAATTTGATTTAATATT